CTCATGGCCCCCACGGATGATTCACCCTGAATTTTATTTTATTATTATTATTTTTTAAGATTTTATTTATTTATTTGAGAGACAGAGAATGAGAGACAGAGAGCACGAGAGGGAAGAGGGAGAAGCAGACCCCCGCTGAGCAGGGAGCCCGATGTGGGACTCGATCCCGGGACTCCAGGATCATGACCTGAGCCGAAGGCAGTCGCTTAACCAACTGAGCCACCCAGGCACCCTCACCCTGGATTTTAAATATGAAGTGGTTTTCTCCTGCTGCTCAGCCTGAGTCTGAGCAGCTACCCTGCCCTCCCCTTCCCCTGCTCCTCCCCTCCCCTGCCCAGCTGTTACAGGCTCAGAGAGTATTAGTTAATTTTAATATTAACCTAAGAAAGATTAATTAGGAAGGCAAATTTGCTCTAAAAGATGTAATTAATTCCAAAGCCAAATAGAAGAGAGTTTTGGATTATGTGCATTGCTGCTGCCTTCAAGTAGTGTGGATAATCAAGGGCTGACGAGACGAGAACAGGATCATTTCGGTGTCAGTGACGTGTAGACCACACTCCATATGGTTCCTTCTGTAACTGCGCTCATGGCTGAGACAAAAGATTTAGAGGGAGCTCATGCCCGCGCCACTGAAGTCAGGAGGAAACATCCAATCAGACATCCTGTCCTGGCTCTTCCAGCTCCTAAATCATTCACGAATCATGTATCTTCCTCTCCAGTCTTCCCTCCCGTTGGCCTGGTCCAAGTCTGAATCAACTCCTTTCTGGACTGTTGTAACAACTCCCCCAAGTAGCCTCCAGACTCTGCACCACCAACTCAGTCTCTGCTCAGAACCAAACCTAAATTGTATCAAATGCATGAACACAGAACCCCCCCAGCCAGTGTCAAACAGAAATTTAATCTTGTGGCGTCCCACTTCCAAACTTCCAAATGTGCCCAAAGGTGAAGGGTTAACCCTTCCACATGGCCCACAGGCTCCTTCACAAATTAGCCCCAACTTGTCCCCCAGCTCATTTCCCTCATTTCTCTTCTATCACTATGCTCCTAGAATGGCTGTCCTCAATCCCCTTGTTATAGGGCAAACTACTGCTCATTCTGGAAGTCTCAGCCTGAATGAATCTTTCAACACTTAGGGGCTTCCGAATCTGGGCTCTGGTAGCCCTCTGTTAACAGCTTACCTGATTTCCCCATCATTATTTGTTCTCTTTTTCTTAAAGGAGACAGTGAACACCTTAGAAGGAGGACTGTATCTTTGTATTCTCCTCTACCACTCTCTAATTTAGGCCAAGCCTGATGTCTGTCCCATAGGAGATGATCAATAAATATTCGTTGAAAGGGATGGAGTCAGTTAATGACTCCAGTGATGACGCCAACTGAATTTGCCCATTTGAAACCCAAACTTCCTCTTTTCCCCCTAGTCAATAGTAAATGAAGTTTGAAATATCTGGGAAGATGCCTCAGTTCTCCACTTCCTTTTGCCCGCCTCGCTGAGGCTCAGAGGCAGGTGCCTTCAGGAGGAAAGTCTAGGATAATGGCAAGTGATGCAGACTTCAGCCTGACAGCTGCTGATCTTTGCTTTAGTTGATTTCCCCCTTTGCAAACGGTTATTGGCAATTGAAACTGCAAATCTACTATCTGCTCCCCTATGTAAATTGCATTTACATTTAAATTGTGCATTCTTCCAAAGGATGGGGTTGGTAAATAACAGCAGATTAAACTTGAGGAGAGGAAATTGTGCCCCACGTCAAACCTGAGACCAAAGTGACATCTGGCTTTTACTATTTCCGTTATTTCAGTTTAATAACAGCATGTGGCATTAAGGGAAAAGAAATTGGATCTACATTTTAATGAAAAGAGGAAGCTCTCAGGGTTTAGATACCTTATCATGTTGAATACCTTCTCGATTGGCAGTTAAAACTTGCTTCCCTCAAGAAATGGAATAAAATATCTTTGCAGCCATGGAGAGAATCATAAACAAAAAACAAGCAAATGCCCAGGATTTCACAGATAAAACTGAGGAAAGGGGGTGCTGCAAACATCAAAACCAAGTATTTCTGGATCCTGCAGAGTATAGGAATTCTTAAACAGAATAATGCTGAGAACAGAATCATGGATAGGCCAGTGGGCTCTTCGGGAGAATAATTTCAGACAGAATGGTTTGCACATAATAGAAGGCTCAACCCAATCAGATCATCTGATTGAATCCTTTGTCAACCTAGCTTCCTTTAAACCGCAGAGGTCTAAGAAATTATTCTAGAAATGCCTGTTTCATCCTAATAGTCTGTTTAAATGCAAGCAGTTCCACCTGCTGGCTGCTTTTTTGTTGAAAGCAATTCTGGGAAATGTAAACAAAATGCTTATGCATCCTAATAACCCAAGCCTATCATTTATTTGCTTTGATTGAAACAAATGTGTCAATTTTCCAAGTCTTTGTTTGGTGAATCCAATGTTTGGATGTTGGCAAACGTTTGCATTACATGTTTGTTTGGAAACTGATGCTCTATTCAGAAACTCTGGAGCTATAGCCCTCGAAACTACAGCCTGGAATCAGTCAATGAGTCTCCCTGACGATACACACAAAGATGCTTAATCTTTTCCCAGAATCCTGATAATGTTGAAATGGTCAAGTCCCATGGGCAAGTGTAAATGGGATGGGGCCTCCTGAGGAAGAAACTAGATGTGGAGACTTTGAGGATATGGCTCACGAATAATTAGAATAATGGGAAACATTTATATCGTGCTTACTAGGTGCCAAGCATTTTATGTGTATTATAAACTCATTGCGACCCAGTAACAGTCCTGTAAGGTAGGTACCATTGTCATCCCCATTACAGATGAGCAAAAGGAGACACAGCGAGGTTAGTAACTTACCTTCCCGATGTCACCCAGCTGGGAAGAGACAGAGCTGCAATTTGACTCCAGGCAGGCTGGCTCACTGTCCCCTTAACCCTTTCAAGTGACTCCCTCCTATCCCTGGCACTTAATTAAGGCAGTGTGTTCTCCCATATTTACATTTCGTCTTGCATAATTGTTTCTAAAGTCTCAGCAGTCTTTTTTAAAAGACTCAAGCTAATAGTCTGAAGAATGTTCTTATTCTTCAATGAGCAATTCCTTGACAAGTTAATATAGCTGTCTTCTCCTTTCTTACTCTGCCTAGAGCCCGTGGCCAAATTACCCATCTACTACTATGGATCTTTTGAGGATGGCCGAGATGCTTGAATTTGTTTAATTTTTCCTTTATCTTCCCAGTTTCCTGGCACTGTTTGGTTGGGTAGCAGCACTTTCCCCCCACTTCCTGTGCATAATGATAACTTCTCTGCATCTCTTGACCTTTTATCATGGCAGGCTGCCTATAAAGTCAACCAGTGTCTCCTTCTGTCTGAACGTAGGTTAAATTAATCATCTGGCTTTCACATCAGTCTGTTGCTATGGGGTTTACTGATGTCACACTGTCAGTATTGTGATTACCATAATATCTAACAGGCAAAAAGGGACTGGTTGCTACTAGAAACCCTTGGGTGAAACTCCCCCAGCTTTAGTACCCAACCCAACTGCATAGCCTTTAGACAACCATGTAAAGGGGTAAGTGGATTAATCATCCAGTTGGATTCCATTTGAATACTTTTCTTCCATATGTGTGTTCCCTCTAGGCAGTTGTCTAGTGTCACTTGAAATTGATGAGGGTTCTTTTGGAGGTTATTTTGGAGAGGGCGTTGAAACAACAGACAGCTGTTCTCAGGAAGAAATGTCGCAGGATGGGCCTAAGCTAGCTTCTAAGGGTAATAACAGTAATGTATTGTCCTCTTCCTTTCTATATTAGGTCGTTTCCTAGGGGCCAAACATGTTAATTCAGCTTCCCCAACACGTAGAGAAGAAGGAAACTTCCATTTACTAAGCCTCTACTCTGTGCCAGAATGTGACTCTGGTCCAAGTGTAGCTTTAAGGAGGAGAACTGTAAAGCGAGGCGTTCTCCAACAACCCTGTTATACATGACAACTCACAGCTTCTTCCAGCTTGTATACAATGTTCTTCCTAATTGGACATTGATTGATCACCAATAAAGGCAAAGTCATGACTTAAAATTGGTCCAGATCCTCTGATGCTGAGTGATCTTCTTGCAGTTGTTTTCACTGCAATATTAAAAAGCCTGGAAATAGCAGTGAGGTACAATAAATAAACTTCTACATTACAAATCTCTGTTGAAAGGTGTAACAAATGTGTCTTTTTCAGGATTTTGTTAAGTAGGTGGAGGGGTCCTTTTAGGGGGATAAAGAGATCAAGGGCATAAATGTGATTGAACTTGAGGCTGGTGTAGGACAGGAAAGCCAATCAAGACTTGTGTAAGCCTATATAAGTCAATTTATGTGCCAGAGAATGAATAGCTGACTTTTTTTTTTTTCAAATGCCAATTCAGCAATTACAAAGTCTGCTGGCGGTTAATTAAAAACTACCATCTCGTTATGTTCCAAGTTAAATTACAAGTGTGAAAACTACTAGTGTTTGCAATAACTGAACACTCTGGACTCTCATCAAAAGGAGGGCAGGGATAAATAACTTTTATTTAACTCACTAGAAAATCTCTCTCAGCTCTTTCATATTTAATTAACTTCTTATTTTTTCAGTGCCTGAGTCTTACTCAGAGTTCCTAAGCAGTCATAGAAATATTTGTTCACGTGTTCATTTGGTGCAGAAGACTTTTCTCACATGAGTTAAGTAGAAAAGTTAGAAATAATTCAACCCCAGAGACATTGGGGAAAGTGACACCCACCCAAAGCCTTGCATTGAGGCAACCTAAACCCAAGAGAGATTTATTGCAGAGAATGCTGATTTGGGGGGTTATTGCCCGTGTACCTTCAAAACTGGAGAGATTGGGTTGTAAAGCACTTCTGTGGACTTTCGGGAAATTTTTAGTTCTTATTTGTAAGGCTGCTTTAAAGAACTTAATGTTTTCCTCTTTCATAGATTCCACTGTCTGAAAGAGACCAAACTCCTATTACGCCATGGTGGATGTGAAGTGTCTGAGTGACTATGAATTACAGCATGAACTTAGTAAGCTTGGATTTTCACCTGGACCAATACTACGTACGTATGAGGCAAATATTAGAGACTCGTCATTTATTACTTATAAACTACCTCCCAAGATTTAAAATTATTTACAGTGGAAGGAACATATGCAATAAAAAACATTAAAATGGAAATAGAAAAAATTTCTTAAAGCACAGAAAACCATAAAGGGGGAAGAAGTGATAAATACACCCAGATGTTACACACAGGTTACTAAGTATGGGGCCTGAGAGAAAGGATTGGTTTTTTCCAACAAGGAAAACCCATTTACTCTTGGTTGTATCACCCTGTTGGTTTTTTTCGTTTCTAGGATGTGCACTATGTTAACTGTTTATGTACTTATTGTTCATATTCCCCATAGATGGGAAGTACAACTTTGTCAGTCTTACTTTTGGATATATCCAATGCCTGCCTCCCTGGCTAATCCATGGAGGCCTCAACTTCATTGTTTGTGGAAGGATAGGAGCGCGTTGAATAGCTGTGGGGTGGACCTGATTGTAAAGGCCGTAATTAACCAACAGTGTAAGGTACACGAATAAGGATCCCGTGGTGAAATACCGAGCGTGCAGTGAGATCGCCTACACAAACGGGATAACTTAATCTGTTCTCCACATTCTTCTTCAGCTTCCACCAGAAAAGTGTATGAAAAAAAGTTGGTGCAACTGTTGGTCTCACCTCCCTGTACATCACCTGTGATGAATGGACCTGAGGAGCTGGACGGAGCTCAGGATGATGACGACAGTGAAGGTACCATTAGAAGCTGTACTGCTAGATAGCAACTGTGTGCTTATTCTTACCTTGTCTGGGATGATCTGTGTAGCTTGAAATGCTATGCAGGGTGACCTATGAAATGTCCAGATGGCCTGTTTGCACGCAGAGCCTGGAGAATAGGCCCCCGGGCTACAAGAGGAATCCGTTATTCCATGTCCATGTTCATGCCAGTGACCCCACTGGATGGAAAGTGGTGGTGGGGGGGGGGGGGGGACCTGGTCAATTTTCATGTCCTCTTATTAACCAGAGCCAAATCTGTGTTTGATTTCTAAAACCGGGAGTTCCTGCAGGTAGTTTCCACATCTCCTTTGAGGTCCCAACCTCTGTTTTGCCTCAATCAATAAATGGGACAATTATTTTCTTCAGATTAAATGATTTCAAATCCGTTCAGAAAGATGAACCAAACGGTACCTTCCGGAACTCTTATGCCTACCGCCCTCCTGACTTCATGGGAGCTGACCACAGCTGGTCTCTTGCGGGCCCCAGGGTAGGTGCAGAGCTGTGGGGATCCGGGGGCTTCTGTTCCAGTGGCCCCTGCCCCCACGGGCACCATTCTCCTGTAGGAGGTGGGCTTGAAGATTCCTATAATCCATTCCAAGGCTGTTTCATTCAATAAATATTTATTAGGAGTCCTCCATGAGCCACAGAAAAATAACAGGAACTACCATGCCTTGAAGGCCTCCAGTGCATGTCTGCCCTTAAGTGCAATATCTCGTTTAACCCTCACAAACTTTTTTTTTTTAAAGATTTTATTTATTTATTTGAGAGACAGAGAATGAGAGAGAACACATGAGAGGGCATAGGGTCAGAGGGCAAAGCAGACTCCCTGCTGAGCAGGGAGCCCGATGCAGGACTCGATCCAGGGACTCCAGGATCATGACCTGAGCCGAAGGCAGTCGCTTAACCAACTGAGCCACCCAGGCGCCCTAACCCTCACAAACTTTTAGCTGAAGTTCTGAGAAGCTGAGTGGCCCAACATCGAACACCTAGGAAGCGCCCCCAGAATGTGCCATGAAGAGCAAGGTCCGTCGTCTCTGTCACCATTACATGTCCAGCTCCTGGAACAGTACCAGACATGGAGCAGGAATGCAGGATGTGTTTGTTGAAAGAGGGTGACAGAACTGAGATTTGAACCTAGGTCTGGTTCTCATAACTGTGCTCTTTCCACCATATGCCTTACACTGTTCTCACAATTTCTATTGTGAGGATGAACACATTACCTTTTTGACCATGTTTGACCTACCAAAAAATGGCAATTTCATACAGCTCAAGTGAATAGTTTAACAAGTAAGATAAGTGTCTGGGGCCTTCTGAAAAATCCCCTGGTGATGCCTGGTATCGAGGTGGTGCAGTTCTGAGAGCTTTCCCTAAGTCCCGTGTGGCCGGCCTCATTTGAAAGAGCAGCAGGACTGGGATATGGACCCCACCGGCCCCTGAGCATACCCCAGACCCTTTCTGGATGGGGGATATGTTCAGAGTCCTGCCCCAGACCTGGGACTGCGTGTGTTTCCTGCCCTAGACAGGAGCTGAAGGGACTAGAGTAGCCCTCTAATGAAATGAAGGGCCAGGTTGGAAGATTCCAGAGAGGAAGCCTTGTGTCCTTACTGCTCACAGCTGCCCAGGACTGCGGGTCAAAGCTGCACAGCCAAGCTGTGGTGGTCCTAGGCCAAGCTCTCTTGCTTCCCAGCGTGCAGCCCTCCGCAGAGGGGCATGTATGCCCAGGCCGCGAGAATGGGTCCTTCAGTTTGTAAGCTTTGCCTTTGCCTTACAGACTGTATCCACCTGACGCCAGCCAACTTCAGGCAGTCAGGTCAGAGGAGAAAGCTCTGGGTCAGTCCCTCCCTTGTCATGCAATGCTACGGTGTCAGTGGACGGTGCTTAGGTCAAGTAGGCAATGACTGCTGTCTCCGGGTCAGGTCTGAATCAGAAGTTTGAGTCTGCTCATTGGAGGAGCCTCAGAGACCCCGGTGTCATCAGAATGAAGGGGTTGCCACGGGACTGATAAGGTCCTGGGGAGATTCAGCCTTGGGCGCTTCACAGAAACACCTCGTCCTGGGGTGGGGACACGGTGGGGAGCGTGTGACAGGGGCCCAGTGCAGACCTAAGGTGAAGCGGTAGGTTATCCAGACAATGGGTAGGTTTGATTTTTTTCTCATTTTCACTCATTGTTTTGGCACCGAGTGGACATAGCTTTAATGGTCGAACCTCTTTTCCAGCTTCCCAAATATTCTGGAGTTGGAGGGCTCCTTTAAAATCCCCTCCAACAGCTCTTCTGAGTGTGTAACAGCCCCTGATTGCTCCGAGTTTATCAAAATGCTTCTCCACCAGCTGAAGCCAAGGGTTGACGAACAACCACCTTTCCTGCTCCCAGCAGTTTCCCGATGTTAAAGCCTTTTAGCACAGGTCTGGCCTTCCCTCCTCTAGGGGCTTCTTCGGACACAGGAGAAAATCCTCCCGCCCGATCTAGACATTCAAGGATGCGTGAGGCTTGCAGCTGGTTCAAAGGGGCACTGACTAGACTGAAACCAGCCGCCCAGAGGAGCGGCCAGCTTGAGCTCAGCAATGTATACAGTGTATAGAATGTATACAGACATGACGGCCTTCCTGTTATGACGGCCTTCCTGTTAGGAGCCCTCCCGTGTCCCCCGGGGACAGGCTCAGCGCTTTGCACAACGGCCACTGCAGAAATGCCCTTTGCCCTCAGAAGGGCAAAGTGAATTTTCTTCCCCTCATGAAATTCTCCTGCCCTACAATTGGGAGAATTCACCCCGATGACTGGTGTTTATTTCCCTTTCTAGCTCGTATGTTCTCATGGCCTATTTTCCTTTTGTTTTCCATGATCCAGAGCTTAATGCCACTATCATTTTGAAAGGAAATATCATTCTCTCATCAGAAAAAAACAAGGGACCCAAAAAAGTATGTACAATTCTAATGCATGAATACTTTTACCCATAATATATTAAATATAGGAAATAGCACTCCCAAAGGTATTAAGAAAGGAAATAGCAAGTGACTCCATTCTGGTCTAGTGGTAAAATCCTAGTTTACAGCAGCTCGTTGTAATGCAGGTTTCTGTTTTGTGAAACTATTTCCATGTTCTGGCTCAAGACCCAGAGTCACCGTCCTCCTGCCCCTCCCTGAGATTGCGGCTACCCTGCTTTGCCCTCCGGCTGCCATTCCCCTCCCCTTTCCTGGGGCTCCAGGGTCCACATTGGCAGGGAGCCCTGAGCACGGTTCCAGACTCACCATGAGCGTGAGCGGAGAAGCAATGTGAGTTCCTGCTTCCTTGTCTTTCCCAGACATTGAGCTCTGGCTTCCACCCTCACTGCCGTGTTGAAGCTCATGGCCAAGTGTGTGAGGGTCAGAGGTTTTACAGTGAGGCCTCGCTGGCTTAGAGTCCCTGTCCTTCCCTGGGCTTTGTTCTGGGGCTTTGGGAAAGTCACTTAACAGATGTCAACTCCTTGTGCAGCTTCATGGCAATACCTACCTCACAGGGTGGGTGCGAAGGGAAAGCTCTAGAAGGAGGCATGTAATTAGTTCACATCATGAACTCTAAGACGCCAACCCCAAGGACTTTTTCCCAGTCTTCTGACCACTGTCCCTCCGTATTTAGAGACGCCTCTCTCTTTCCATTTTGACAACACTGTGCTGGCTCGGTTCCTGATTCTGCCCCTCGGACAGTTTCCATTCTTTTTTTTTAAAGATTTTATTTATTTTTTAGAGAGCGAGCGAGAGAGAAACAGCATGAGAGGGGAGAGGGTCAGAGGGAGAAGCAGGCTCCCCGCTGAGCCGGGAGCCCGATGCGGGACTCGATCCCAGGACCCCGGGATCATGACCTGAGCCGAAGGCAGACGCTTAACCATCTGAGCCACCCAGGCGCCCCGACAGTTTCCATTCTGACCCTGTCTTCTGGCCCCTCAATGAGATCTGTCTCTAGCCCCCCTCTCCTCCTGCTCTACATCATTTCCATTGGCCGCCTCCTTCCCTTTACCTCATGTCATCTTTCCACACAGAAGCCTCCACACGGGCTCCTTCCCCCTAGGCAGAGGCCTCCACATCCAGCCCCCTCCCAGAGAGCTCTTTACTTTTCCTTGTCTTTTCTTCCTTCCTCCCCTCCTTCCTGCATTCATGCAGCAAATGTTACTTATAATCATGAACATTTCATAGATTGCAGAAGTGTATTTATCTTTCTCTCTGTGGTGAGCTCTACCTCCCAGCTCCTCCCACTGAGGACATCCAGGACCAAGCTCATTTTTGCTCACCCCAAACCTGCATTTGTGGCCTCTGTTCACCTTGATGGTTTCACCACCTTCCCGCTGTCCAGGCTCAAGGCCTCAGAGTTATCTTGGAATACCCATTGCCCCTCACATATAAACAGTTGCCAGTGGATTTGAATTATGATTTTTAAAAATCCATCCCTCCTTTCTGCTATCCTAACTTGCACCCATATTATTATTATTATTATTATTTAAGTAGGCTCCCCGTTGGGCATGGAGCCCAATGCAGGCTTGAACTCAGGACCCTGAGATCAAGACCTGAGCGGAGATCCAGTCTGACACTTAACCGACTGAGCCACCCAGACGCCCCCATATTACTTTTTATTTTTATCGGAACAATTGTAATATCCTCCTAACTGACCTCCGCCTCTAACCTTTCCTGATTCCAGTTCAGATGTACAAGCAGAGCTTGAGCCATGACACTCACTTCGCCTGGAAACAAGGCGCAAACTTACCACGCACCACGAAGAGACTCCAGTATCTCCCTCATCACCCTATAGACTCTTCCCTGGTTTCCCACCTCTCTCACTTCCTTCCCATGTGCCTTTGCCTCAGCCGTTCCTTATGTCTGGCATGCTTTTCATCCTCCGCACCCCCATCCCCTGCCCATTTTCTTCTGGTTCAAATCCTGTGATTGTTTAAGGACCCGACTCCAAAGCCATGCCTGTGCATCCCCTTAAAATTGCCCTCCCTCCCCTGCAGTAGCTGTTACAGGCTCTCACACAGAGTAGGAGCCCAGAGCTCACCTCATCCCATCTGCCAAACCGCTCTAGCAACAAACAGGTTAGTTTGCCAATATGGTCTAGTGTTTATTTATTTATTTTTATTTTTTTAAAAGATTTTATTTATTTGACAGAGAGAGACACAACGAGAGAGGGAACACAAGCAGGGGAAGTGGGAGAGGGAGAAGCAGGCTCCTGCTGAGCGGAGAGCCCAATGCGGGACTCGATCCCAGGACCCCGGGACCATGACCTGAGCTGAAGGCAGACGCCTAATGGCTGAGCCACGCAGGCGCCCCAATATGTTCTAGTATTTAAACTCCTCGCTGAGTTTCAGCAAGTGAAAAGGAAACCCCGAGTACACATTCCTATAGTGGATGTAGCTTTGGCTTCCCATTTGAACAGAATTCAAATCTGATGAAGTAATTCTGATAGCTTATCAAACTTTCTAAAAGGATGTTTTAAATCTTCCAAATGGCTCATCAGAGGAATCCTTTCCATTCAAAAAACCTCCTGTGGGCAGAGCACCCCTTTGTCTAGATCCTGCACAGACACGGAGGGGGGAACAAAGCAACCTGAGTATTTGCAGTGCAGGCGGGCGGGACCAGCACCCTTCAGGTCTTTGCTTTCCATAAACCTGAAATAAAACCACATCAATATTTTGAATTGGCAATAGAATTCAACCGAAAGTTTGTGAGGGCCCGAAATGTTTGGATCTGAAGGATTTATATAAGCCGTTCTGATTCTCAGAAGGGCCTCAAGACATCTGTTCAACATTAAATTCTGAAGGAAATGTAAATAAGCATTTAAATTTCCATGTAAAAGGTGGTAAAAAGTGTGTTTATGGAGTCACTTGTCTAACACCATAGACTTTAATTACTTAAGAGCAGTGTTGTGTACCTAACTGCCCTCAGAGTAGCTGGAGAGGCAGAATTTGCATTTTTTTGAAACACCAAGGAACACCTATTCCCCTCTCATCCTAGCAGGGTTTCCAGTGGAATACAAACTACTTTGAGATTTTCATTAAGTCCATTTCCAGACACTTTGTAATCCTGCATGTGTGTGTGTTTTATCAGATCACGAATGCAGCCCACTGCTTTGGAGATTAAGATCACTCAGGAAGTCAGGCCAATATATATTTTTTAATTGGGGATTTTTTCATCAGATGGACTCGGGGCACAGCGGGTGCCTCCTGTGATGGAGAAGGCAGGAAAGCCAATGTGTGTAATGCAGGCTCTAAGTCCCTTCTACCAAAGAGGGGGAGATGGGATTTGGGGTGTTGGGGAAGCAGAATGATCTGCAATGTCAGGCTGCATAAAGTGGCCTCTGAGTAAGGTGACCATGTCATTTACACCCCCGGCAGGATGCTTTTGAGAATGAAAGGGGACACTTCTAGAAGAAACGCTGGAATAACAGGAATCAAACAGGACTGTCCTGGCAAACCAGGGCATCTGGGCACCCTGGGCTTAAGAGTGGTTCCAGGGGTGGAGATGTTTGCACGTGCACTCCCGTCTCTGGATGGCTGCTTGTCCAATCCCCAGAGGGCTGCTGGGCCTGGGAGCTGGGTGCTCCGGAGCGCCCCTGGCCCCTTCGGTGTCTCCTTGTTCACTCCCAGACACGCATGTTCGTTCCTGCCAGAATCCTGGTTCTCCTGTTCTCCCTGTTCTCCCAGCCCGGAAAACTCTTCTCATCTTGCCACCTATGTGACACATTCCTCCAGGAGCTTCTAAAAATGTGTTCTGTGGGTCTGGGTCTAGCAATCTGCCCTTTCAATCCGCCCCAACTCCCACCCTCTGCCTAAGAGCTTTGGCTTCAGGTTGTAAAACTCCGAGCGTGAAAACCGATGTCTTTGAATCCTCTGCATTGAATCCAGTGCCAGCCATATGGGGAGAGGAAGGAGGGAGTTACTCAGTCTTTGTTGGCTGAACCCAAGGGAACCTTTGTTATATATTGATGTTGATGATCTCCCTTTCTCTGACTTCCTATTCTGTACTATCTCTTTTGTCTCTTAGACATACCTTAACGTATTCTCCTGAGGGACAATGCTTAGGGCACAGTGAATTGATGACCACCCAGGGAATGGTTGCAACAGACCTTCCACCCCTGGGTCTCAGCCTGTGAGTTCACAACTATTTATACTGGGCATTGTGCTAGACCTTTTTGAGGAAGAAAATAGATGCAAAAGGAGCCATGGTTCCTGCCCTGGAGAAACTTTAAAATGAGCTCTGGAAACAAAGAATATGTGTATCAAAAATCTGGACTCCAGAGCCAGACTGCCTGGGTTCAAATCCCAGCTCTGAAACTGACTTGGACAAGACACCTGACCTCCCAGTCTTAATTTCCTCATCTATAAATCAGGACAATAATGGTCTCAACTTCATAGAGCGTTGCGAGGATTAAGTTAACATATGTAAAACAGAGTAGCGATGCTACATCATAAGAGCCATATAAGTACAATAATAACTACTATTATCATCAGTATTATCATGAAAAAAGCACGATATTTAATTATCTACACAACAAAGCAAACTGCTTAATGGAAAATAGTATGATGGCAACTGAATCTCAGTATTGAACTCCTAAGTGCTGCAGAGAAGGATTTATCAGAGTGCCCACAGGTATATTTATCTATTATATAATTATATAACAGGTATATTTATCTTTTTTTACAAGATTTTATTTATTTATTTGAGAAAGCGAGAGAGAGAGCACAAGCAGGAGGTGAGGCAGGGAGAGAAGAAGAAGCAGGCAGGCTTCCGGCTGAGCAGGGGGCCCGATGCAGGGCTCCATTCCAGGACCTTGAGATCATGTCCTGAGCTGAAGGCAGATGCTTAACCATCTGAGCCACCCAGGCACCCAATATACAGATATAATTAAAGATTGTTCTCTGTGAGTGCTGTGTGTTGAATGAGGCAGACCA